TCACTTCTTACCCGGTGTGTGCTGTCTCCTGCACCCCACCCCAGAACATATACCTCCCCATCTGTGTGTAGAGGACAGATACATGCACCATTCCAGGTGGGCCTTAGGGACAAAAGTATAGATCTCTTGGAAGAAGGGGTCCAGTCGTTGTTGGTGTGGATTGTTTCTTATTGCAGTGTGTGTGTGTGTTTTACCAGCCGGCTCCCAAATCATGACACGGAGACTTATTATTATGAATGCTTGGCTTTAGCTTGGGCTTCTCCCACCAGCTCTTTTAACGTAATTTAACCTGTTTCTATTCATCTGCATTTTGCCTCGGGGCTTTTTAACTTTCTGTCATTCTGTGTGTCCTGCTTTCCTGCCTCCTCCATGCTTGTCTGACTATCTGACCCCTGGCGTCTTCCTCTCTCCCTCTGTCGCTCTCAAGCCTAGATTCCTCCTCCTCCTAATTACTCTCTCTGCCCAGAAGTCCTGCCTGTACCTCCTGCCTAGCTATTGGCCATTTAGCTTTTTATTAGACCAACCAGGTGCCTTAGGCAAGCACCACAAACAAACAAAATGCAGTGCATCTTTACGTGGTTAAAACTAATATTCCGCAACGGGTGAGGACTGAGTGGCTTTGGGTGCAGAGGCGAGGGGTTGGTGGCTTTGGGGCATGAGAAGATAGTTGTCTGGCTGATAAAAGGAGCCCCATAGAACTAAGGGTTAGAATCAGGCTCCTTCCTCTGGGCCTGCCTTGGGTGAGAGTGGGACCCAGAGCGCCTATGTTTGCCTGATCTCCCTGGGGTAGCCTGTCTATGTCCCAGCCATGAATACTGCCGTCACCATTGGCCTTGCCAGTGGCTGTGTCTTTCCTGGCAGGGGCTGTGTCTCGCTTCCACCAGCTGTCCTGCCTCTCCTGCCTCTCTGTCTCTCATCCCATCTCTATGGTTCACCATTCCATACTCTCTGGGCCACTCTCAGAACTCTCTGCCTGCCTATGCGGTGCCTGCCAGTTCCTCCCTTTGCCATAGCCCTGCAGGAGAGTCCAGCTGGGCAGGCTTCTCTGGGGAGAGGGGGACACCGTCTTGGGACTGCCTCTGCCCTCGAGAGTTTACAACAGAGACTACGTTCTCCGGGATCCAGCCCTCTTACAGAGTTCAAAGAATCAGCGACCGCATCTTGCTTAGCACCAAGGGGGCTGTACATCACACCTGACAGCATCCTCTGGCTACCTTTTTTATAGGTGGGGACTGGCCTTGGAGGCTGCGTGGGGGTGGAATCGAATTGGCCAGCACATTTTGCCTGTGTTGTCTCGGGCAAGTTACTAAGTCTCTTTGAGTCTCAGTTCCCAGCTCTACAGAAAAAAAGAAATCAGTGGTCAGATGAATAGTGTCTTAGTTGTCAAGGGGAACTAAGAAAAAGAAGAGATTCTGTAGATTATGTCAGAGCCACTCGTGGTCAGGACAAACTAGTGTCTTCTCACCTACTTTTCCCTATTAGCCCATCAAGAACCTTGGAGAAGGTTCCGGCAATGACCATGAGTCTGAGGCCGTGACTCCCCACATACAGTGGAAGGATCCCATGCACCCTGCCAGCTTCTGCAGCTGCTGACCCAAGATGAGGATGTAGTCCAGTGGCTTGCCTCTATCACATAAGTGGGCCTGCCCTCCTTGGATGAATGCATGCATCTGTGCTCTGCTTGCGGGTCCTGTGGTGTGCACGCTGGGCCCTGGGTGCTTTTCAGAACCCGAGTGTCAGAATGCAGCAATGGAGCACCTGTAGAGACAGTCAAGTTTGCCCTCCCTCCCTTCTGTTCCGAGAGGACAGGCCCAACTCTATGCTCTGCCCAGTCCCTGCAGGCCAGAAAAACAGCCAGGCCTTGTCTTTCACCCCTGTGGCCAGAGCTCAAATAGGGCTTTGCAGAGAAGACTGCTTTCTGCATGTCAAGCCCACCCTGACCGGGCAAAGTTGGACTCCTGGCTCTTGGTTCTAACTGGGTCTGAGTCCCTGCAGCTCTCAGAACCTCGATTTCCCTACTAATAACACGGGTATGTGGTTGAACCAACTGACTGCTCTCTGCATTCTTAGTCCTGGGTTGGGCTTTGGGGAAGAGAATGCAGCAGTTGTATAGACCGGCTGGGGGACAGTGGAGGCCAGCATTCTGGGAGGGGGGATTCTAGCCTTTCCCTGTCCGTGGAGTTGCTAGGAGAGGCACACCTGTGACCCCTGGTGGCGTCTGGGACTGTAGAGCTGCCAGGGAGGGAAGGGGGTGGCTTGCTCAGAGGTCTTTGGCTGTTTGGGGATGCCCGAGGGGCTGTTGTGAGCCCTAGGAGTGTGGCCACAAGCCTGGGAAAGGACTAACTAGGGTATAATTAGTGTGTTTTTGGCATCCGCCAAACTTCCCCTTCCTCTTAAAACAGTCTTGGAGGCTGTGGACTTGTTTAAATTCTATCCAGCAAAAATGAAAGAAAGGAAAGGGGGAAAAGAAGAGGGTTGTTATTTTGTGAAATTGCATTTCCCAGCCGTGAGTGTGAGTCACAGGGTTTGGAGCTTCAAATTTCTTGTTTGGATGAACTTTTCTCCAAGCGGCTGGGGCTATGTTGCCCCAACTCAAGCCACTTTGGGATGATAGAGCCAGCAGCCTCCTGGCATGGGGCAGGTTTCCCAGTCAAGATATAGAGTGACCCAGAAGTTGGTTCTTTGAGGCCAGTGAAGTGGCTGCCGCCGCCCAGGTTTTCCAGGGGGGCTGGGCAAAGCAGATTCGGGTCAGGAATTACTGTCCAGTGGATTCAGAGTTTCGGCTTGAGGAGGTGGGGGAGTCAGGGGGGTGAATGGTGGTGGTGGTAGTGGTAGTTGTATTTTAGTGAAGATATGCTTAGGGCCATGGAACTGTATACTTTTAAAAAAATGTTAAACTGGTAACTCATTATGGATATCTGATCACACACCAAAATATGCCCTTGGTCCCAAGCCACCACTGTGGTGACTCTGAGGTGGGGCCCAGAAAACTGTTTTTGTTACTAGTTTCCAGGTCATTCAATACAAGTTTGGAATACTCATTTCGTGTGTGAAGTAGGGGGCGGGCAGTGACTCACACGGGTGAGATGGGAACCAGCTATCTCCGTCGGTGCACGGCTCCCAGGGTTTGGCCTGTCACCGTGGCCACCTTGTCTGATGTCTACCAGAGCTGTCTCCCTGCACATCATAAAGTGGTCCCGTGAGGCCCATCGCCTCCAGAATCCAGGCTGCTGGCATTCAGGGAGCCCCACTCAATTCTGGTCTTGCCTGAGAGCTAAAGAGTTGGCCCAGACCACATGCTGGCTGGTGCTGGCATGCTCCGTCCTGGGTTGCTGGGTGTGCCAGGTGGCTAAGTAGTGGAGAGAGGGTCGTCAGGATCCATGTGGTTCCCTCTCTGCAGAAAAAGCTGTGTGATAGCCTTGGGCAGCTCCAGGTGTGGCGTCTTTGTGCTCTTCCATGGCCAGACTCCTGTCAACATAATGTAAGGAAGAGCAGAGACCCAGAGACAGAAAGGACCCGTTCAGGGTCACCCGGCAGGTATTCCAGATACTGTCTTACCTGGGAGATGGGGGCCGAGTGACCGGCTTCTGAAGATGGAAGCATGAGATCAGGTTAGGAGCTACTCTTGCTGGGTTAGGCAGGGTGTGCCGCGTGCCTTAGACTGCTATCAATTCTGCCCCTGCCCTATGCCACTGCCTGCCCCCTCCCTCTTTGTAAAGGAGTCTAAGTTCTTGGTTTCAGAGACCTCATTTCTCTATCCATCTAAGGACTCCTAAAATCAGGGCCTCACCCATATCAGCCCAAGGCCGGCACTCATCTCTGCCACTTGGGGGCATCTGTCAAGGGCTCAGAGGACTGCAACCATTGTGTCCAGGTTCACTAGCGACTTTCTCGGGGAGGCTGCTGCTTTCTAGCCTTGGCCCTCCACAAGGAAAGGGGAGCCCTTGGTCGTTCCTCGCCAGCCCCACAACAAGGCCCCACCTTCACTAAATTCCAGTGCGCCATGCCATCCGGAGCCCTTGATGTCTATAAATAGAGGCTGTATACACCGGGAGGGCCTGAGCCGTGAGTGCTTGGGAGCTCAGAGAGGTGTCTGGTTCCTGTCATGCGGAGGTGGGACAGGTAGCCACTTCCCTCACCGGGCTCTCAGGGAGGTGGCTCAGGCTGGCCAAGCACCTCTGTGCATTGGCCTCCAGTTCTCCACACTGCAAGCTCCCGGGTCTCTTCCGCACTATGTGGGAAACAGAGTAGAGGAGATGTGTCCGAAGCCCTTCCGTGCCCGACAAGTGACTTCCCATGATGCCATCTGTAGTGTAGTCACTTATTTCTGTGCCAAAATGCCTGTCGAGAGCAGCTTAAGGAAGGAAGGATGGGCTTCAGCACACAGCACACATCACCACACGGTACTGTCCGCCATGACAGGCAAGCCGTGCCATCAGGGGCCTGGGGCCGATGGTCACATTGCTGCGAACCTGACTCTCCTGCCTTTTTATTGAGTCCAGGACCCCGGCCCATGGAATGGCGCCTCCCGCATTTAGGGTGGGTCTTCCCAAATTGCCTAACCCAACCTGGGAAACTCCCTCACCAGAGTGCTGAGAGATTTATCTCCTAAGCGATCCTAGATCCTGTCAAGTTGATGCTATTAACCACCCCCCATCCCCCCATCCTTCCACCACCACCCCCCACCTGGTGCAGTGTGTCAAAAACTGATAGTAACAACAGTCACAGCTGTTAACATCATCACCATGTACCCAGGGGCCCTAGGGCCCAGACATGTGACAAAGCACTTTAGACTCATGACCTCACTTTACCCTATGGAAGCCTTAGGAGGTCATTCCCATGTCATCCCCCGAGGTATAGTCAGGGCCCCTGAGGCCAAACCCACCACCATTAGAGTTAGGGTTTGAACTCAGGCTTGGAGGCTAGCTGAAGGTTCTGTGTGGGTGGTGAGTGAAAGCCTCCTTCACCGCAGCCCTGAATGGCCTCCTCTGTTCCCACAGGCGCTGAGCAGCAGTGTGTACAGGAACGCTTCACCCTATGGCTCCCTCAACAACATCGCCGATGGCCTCAGCTCCCTCACCGAGCATTTCTCGGACCTGACACTCACCTCTGAGGCCCGCAAGCCCAGCAAGAGGCCTCCGCCGAACTACCTATGCCACCTGTGTTTCAACAAAGGACACTACATTAAGGATTGCCCCCAGGTAATCAGCTGGGCTCTCGGAGCTTCCTGCCTGCCTGGGTCTGTGGGCAGGCGGGCACCATGGTTTCCCCTGACCCTCTGTTTTCCCTGATGCTGTTAAGTGAGATAAGGCTGTCTGTGGTCGAGGGACACAGACCCCACTTGGGGTTCATTTGCTTGCTCAGCAATCTGCATGGGGGATTCTGGACCCAAACCAGGACCCCACGTGAGGTTCTGGTCCTTGGGGTCCGTGCAAGTGTTCCTGCAGGGTGGGTCCCATTTTAGTGGGGCAGGAGGCAGCCAACAACCTCTTCATAACTCTCCAGAGGCCCCATCTGCTCACACTCACCAGGAAGGAATGTGGGCTGCTGGCCAGGAATCCAGATGTGCACCCCCCCCTCAGATCCACCACAGCCTACTCTGCCTAGAGTAAGGAAGGATCAGGGTCCCGGCCTGTTTGTGCCCCGGGAAAGGCCTGGGAAAGGCATTGGGTGTAAAGAGACTTGCAGGACGGGGAGATGGTGTTGGGGGCAGCCCCACTCTGTCCCGTGTGCTTTGCTGTGATGAGACAAGGCTCCTGAGGCTGATTCCACTCTGTGGACGACAGACTCCCCAATGGAGACGGGGTCCCGGGAGCAAAGACAGCAGCCATCTTTTTCAGTGCGGTTTGATCTTCTTCGGTGAACCCTTACCCTCTACTATTTTTTTTTTCAATTTTCTGTTTTATAATGTGGTGCTGGGTTTATTTTATATATGTAATGGAAATGGAATCCAATCAACTCTGAGAAGCCACGGAGCATCACCCTCCAGATGCTGGAAGCCAGAGTGGAGCTGGGTGGGGGAGCCAGGATGGGCTTGCCACTCATGCATCCCAGGCACTTCTCAGGAAAGGCCGTGCCAGGCTTCGGGCCCCGGTGTTCCAAGCGTAGCCCCGACACAGCTGTTAGCGGCTCCAGGTAACTTGGTAGAAAAGCAGAACGCCAGGCCCCCCACCCTAGACCCACTTGCCTCCCCCACCGGGACCCTGCCTGGTGGGGTTTCACCACTGATAGTGTCCCCCCACACTCCATACCCCATCCTTCCATGGGAGGCCCTTGGGATCGCGTGACTTCACTGGGGACTGAGCGTCAGACACTCCTCCCCCAGGGCTCCAGGTAGAACAGTTGATAAGGATTTAGAGTCTGCCCATGGGCTGCTTTCTGGCAACTCCGTCCCATCTGAGGTCTCCCGAGTGGAAGTCACTCAGGACACCTCAAGAACCAACCACTGTGGGCAGCTTGGGAATGGGCGAGCAAGACCTACTCACGTTGAGGAGAAGAAGACAGACCCTGTGCCAAGTGTACCCTGACAGCCTGCCGTGCAATGCTGGTGACTGCCTGTCTGTCAGGCTAGTACGAGGCTCTTTGCCGAGAGGCCGGGTGGAGTACTATGAGCGAGGAAGGAACTCATGCAGAAGTTGAGATGGTCAGGGGAGGAGCCAGGATTTTAACCCAGGCAGGTGAGAGTCTTCTGAATACTGGGATAGAGGGGTCCTTGGTTTCCAGCACAGCGCTGACACTGGCTTTGCTTCATACAGATCATTCTCTCTTAGCTCTGTGGCAGGTGAGGGAGGAGGGGCCAACTGGCTGTGGGACAGGTGAGAGTCCCTGAGAACTGTAGAGCTAGGAAGACGAGAAATTGCTACTTGGTGTCTCCATGAGTACCCGGGGCCACCCCTGCCTGAGACCCTTGCTCTGTGAAGCCTAGACCAGCTGCACAGCTGGCTGAGAGTGTCCTATTCTGGTCAGTTCCCAAACTGATTGTATTTGGGACTCCTGGAGGCTCAGGGATCTCCCTGCCGGCTTTGGTGGTGGAGGCAGAGTTGGACTAAGGTGAAGGAGAACCCTAACTAGCACGTGGGTGCAGTGACACGGGCAGGGGACATAACTGGCAGGGCCAGGCACAGTGGGAATGCTTGGTACGGGCTGTCAGGCAGTACTCTCTTCGCTCAACACTACCCTGAAGAGAGCAGCCCTTGGCTGGGTTCTAGATGGTGGGGATATGGACGGGCTATCCACCCTCCGCTGACCATGAGCAGCTGCTGGGCCACATTCCTCCCCTTCCCCTCGCCCTCTGACTCCTGAACCAGCTGAGATTCTTAATGCTATCAGGTGTTTAGCACAGGTCTCCCTGAAGAGAGGAAAGGGGCGAACGAACTTTTACAAACCAGTGATTTCGAATGAAATGTTATATACAGCAGGCCCTGATATGTGATGTGTGAGTTGTGGTGACCCACCCCTGTACTGGGGAGTCTGAGGCCGGAAGGTCACCGTGGCTCACCAGTGTGGTATCATGGGCCACAATTTCTTTTTAAGACTGAGTGGTATCCCACTGAACTTAACTTCTCAGTCTTCGGCGGACAGCTGGCTGCTTCTACCCGCTGCCGTGGATAGTGCTGCCGGGGGTGTGGTATCCCTGAAAATCCTTGATTTCGGTTCTCTACCCTGAACTTAATTGCTTCCTTCTGTGAATTTGCTTAGTTTATCTTTATCCTCGCTTCTTGGTGTGGGGGGCAAAGGTTGGTTTCCTGTCTGTGTTCCTTTTCATCGTTACCGTATTGTTTTTTGTTGTTGTTATGAGCTAGTCTCTCTCTGTAGTCCACGTTGGCCTCAGACTTGTGATCATCGTTTCTCAGCCACCCTTGTGCTGGGTACATATGAGCCACCACACTTGGCCACGTCCTCATTTTTGGTTTTGCTCTTGTTTGGTTTGGAGACAGGGTCTTATATAGGCCAGGCTGGCCCCAGAATTGCTAGGTAGCACCAGCTGGCCTTGAACTCTCGACCCCTCGGCCCTTCTTCTTCTACTTCCCTAACGTTGGACTTGTGCTACTACATCTGCTCTCACATCGTGTGTGTGTGTGTGTGTGTGTGTGTGTGTGTGTGATGTGTGAGGTCCTAGGTGAGGCCAGAAGCTGGCATCTGGAGTCTTTCTCGGTCACTTCTCCAGCACTTTTTAAGCCAGCTGGAATTAACCAGCTGAGCTTGACTGGCTGGCCAACAGGTTCCAGGGACCCCTCCTGTCTCTGCCTCCCTGTGCAGAGAATGTAGGCATGCACGGCCACACCAGGCTTTTACGTGGGTTCTAAGGGTCCAAACTCTCAGGTCTTCATTATTTATTATGTATATAACATTCTGCCCCCCCCCATGGATGCCTGCACGCAAGAAGAGGGCGCCAGGTCTCATCACAGATGGCTGTGAGCCACCATGTGGTTGCTGGGAATTGAACTCAGGACCTCTGGAAGAGCAATCAGTGCTCTCTTAACCTCTGAGCCATCTCTCCAGCCCCTCAGGTCTTCATGCTTGCGCGGGCAAGCACCTGGACCACTGGGCTGCCCCCCCCCCCAGGACCGCACACCTCCCTTCGTGATTGTAAATGTTTATAGCTACGACTTACTCTGGGAGCCACATCCCATCCCATGTTTCAGTGTGGCATGTCTTTTATATGTCACCTAGTCACCTAGTGTGTGTGTGTGTGTGTGTGTGTGTGTGTGTGTGCATGTATTTTCTTCTTTTTTTTTTTTTTGGAGTTTTCCTTTTGGACCCACGATGACTTAGCGGTGCGTTGTTAGTGGCCACATACTTGTGAGTTTTCCAAATAGCTTTTGATGATTTCAGAATTTATTCCACTGTGGTCAGAGGACACGCTTTGTATTGCTGCATCCCTTCCAGATGCGTTGTGGCTGTTGTGGAGCTCAGCATGTGGCTGGCCTGGAGACTGTCCTGTGAGGAGGGTGGGTGGGGGTGCTGTGGGGATGTCTGCTAGGCATGCTGGCTTGCAGTGCTGTTTATGTCTCCTGTTGCTTTGTTGATGCTCTGCCCGGCTCTCTACCCATTAAGCGCAGATACCAGTGTCTCCGAGCCATCGTGACTGAATCACTCCTTTGTCTCCCGTTGTCTGTTTTCTCCTTGTGTTTCGGTGCTCTCTTATTAGGTTTGCCCTGTCTTTCTCATGGTTACAGCTTTCTTGATGAATTGATCCTTTTACCATGATAAGATACTGGGTTATTTTTTTTACCCCCCCTCTAGTAACGTTCATTTTTGTTTTAAAGTCTGTGTTAGGGCTAGAGATGTAGCTCTCAGTGACAGAGCACTTGTCAGACACATGCAAGGTCTTGGGCTCAATTCCTAGGTTTCGAAACCAAAACCCAAACCCATTAAGTCGTTTTTTTTTTTTTTTTCTGACGGTGGTATACCTGGCTTTCTAGTGATTGCTTTTTAATCTATTCAGGTATTTGAATCTGAAGTGAGTCTCCTGAAGATAGCAATGATTCATGGGATCTTGAGTCTTCTGCCCACTCTGAAAAATTCCTGCATTTTGATTGGGTTCTTTAATCCATTCACTTTTTTAGTGTTATTGGGGTAGTTTGATTTATTCCTACCATGAGTTTTTATTTTAAAAATTAACTTGTCTTTTTACTCGTCTATCTCATTCTTATCTCTGTCCTTTGTGTTTATCTTCTAATGCAATGTTTTAATTTCTCTAGTGATTTTAATGTTGTTTTGTAGTGACCTACTCGTTGGGTGTGGATTCCGTCATCCGTTTTAGTTCACCAACACCGTGCACGAAGGCCCCACTCCTGCGCAGCTCTGTGAGCTGTGAGCTTTGATCTCCAGTTGTTCAGGTGTGCTGGGTCTGTTTCTGTGTCCATCCTTCACAGAGTCTGTTGGCCGTTTGATTGCATTGTTAAAGCTGTCGTTAGATTTTGAGAATTTTGGGCCTTTGTTTTCTTCAGATTTTTTTTTCTCCTGTTCTTTTATCTTTTGTTCTGTAGAAGAATCCCTAATGTGTGTTTAAATTCCTCCATAGTTTAACTGGGGTCGACTATACCTTGCCAGGTCCCAAAGTTGCCCATGAGCCCAGGCATTTCACAGAGTCATCAAGGAGTATGCAGCTAACACCTTCACTGACAGCGGGGCCCGGTCTGATAGCACGTGACTTGATTCTCTTCCAACCTAAGAAAAGGGTAGAGGAGCTGGGGGT